TCTTTATTGGTGAAGGCTCCAGGCACAGGGGAGTTGTTTGTAAATTTTGATCCTCAGATATTAACCTTATTTAGAGAAACAGAGTGCATGTCACAGATGGGTCTGGAGGTCTCACCCTTTGCAGCTGCTCTCTTCCAGAAACGAAATATATACAAAAAGAACTTCAGTAACATGAAGGTATACAATTCCCCCACTTCTTGTCTAGCTCTAGACTGTGGTATTTAAAAATAGTTGGTGGTGTGGCTAGGTGCGGTGGTTCATGCCTGTAATCCTAGCACTCTTGGAGACTGAGGCAGGAGGATTGCTTGAGCCCAGGAGTTTGAGGTTGCCGTGAGCTAGGCTGACCCCACTGCACTCTAGCGAGGGCAACAAAACAAGACTCTGTCTCAAAAAAAAAAAAAAAAAAAATTGGTGGTAGGTCACTTTTGAGAAGCAGAAATGGAGTGGAGAGTGTGAGGGGCCAGTGATGTGGACTAAGGCTGCAGGGTTGGCCGGGGGTAGGTCACTACAGATCTTCAGGTCGAGATTAGAAGTTTGGGTTTTATTTTGAGTGTACCGGAAACCAATGGAGGATTTTGGGCTGGAGAAAAAGGCATGATCTCTTTTATAATAATAAAAGTCATTCTTGCAGCTGGGTGTAAAATGGATGTTAAGGGGGAAAAGAGTGTCAGTGGGAGGCCAGTGTGCAGGCTGTTGCACTGGCCCAGCGTAGAGATAATGGTGGCTTGAACCAGGACGGCAGCAGAGTCGATCAGAGAATTAAAAAAATTATGTCAACAGGCAGGTTATGAAGAAACTCAAGGATAATTCCTGTGTTTTTGGTGTGAACAACTCAATGAATTGAAGGGCTACCATACAGTGCTGTGCAGGTTGCATTCTGCATAACTTGCACAATAATATGCAGGGGTCCATTTATGGAGATGGCAAAGACAGCAACTAGTTTATTTTGAGGGGCAGGAGGGAACCAATAGTTCCAATCATTAAGTATAAGACAGTTTTTAGACATCCAAGTGGAAATGTTATCCACGCAGGGAGATGTATAGCTCTGGAGTTGAGTAGAGAAGTCAAACTTGGTGACATACTTTTGAGAGTTATCATAATATAGTGCTATTTAATGTCATTGTCCTGAAAGAGATCTCAGGGAGAGAACAGAGACAGAGAAGAGTGGAGGGCCATTGGGCTGAACACTGGTCTGATGCAAGAAGATGGACATGCAAATAAAACGAAGGATTGGCCTTTGAGGTGGGAGGAAACCAAGTGTAAGAAAAGCCTGATGAAGGAAGCACTGGTCACGAGTGACAAACGCTGCTGCCCAGGAGATAAGAAAGATGGGATCAGAGAAGTGGCCATGATATTTGACAACATGGAAATCACCGTTAAAATTTCTTAGTGGTTAATACCATACTATAATACTAAGTTCATGTGTTTGCATAGTGATTTACATTTTAAGCCATTTTTCGTGCTCATCATTTCACTTGATCTTTTCTACCACTGTGTTAGGTAAGTAGCATGGACTATTATTATTTTATTTTATAAATGACAAAACTGTGGCTCCAAGGATTTAAATGACTTAGCCAAGGGCTCATAGCTAGTAAGTGGCAGAATTAAGACCAGAGCCCAGACTTGGAGTCTCCTGTTTTCCCACCACCGCATGCTATATTAAAAAGTTAATGTTGGCGGTGGACAGACATTCCTCAAATGTAGACTCACGAAATACTAGTCAGCGTGTTGGGATTCCCTTTTAGACTCTTTCTGCGTGTTAGGAAATCACTTAGTCAATCTACATATTTACAAATGAAATCATATTTTTACCAGGAAACCATTATTATAAGACTATAAAATTACTGATGATAGTTTTATCCACAGAGTTGTTGTTTCAGTTATATGTTGCAGGTAAAAAAAACACTCCTAAAATGTAGTGGTTTACAACAACCGTATTATTATATGTCATGACTTCGTTGGTAAATAATTTGAACAGGGCTTGACTAGGTGATTCTTCTATTCTCCATGTCATTGGCGAAGGTTGTTTAGTGTTGTTTGGCTGGTGGATGTTCAATCTGGAAGGTCCAGGATGGCCCCATCTTGTGTCTGGTTCTTTGGTGGGGATGGCTGGAAGGTACGCTCACTTGGGACTGTGGACCACAGCATCTAATATGTGGCCTTCCAATATGGAGGCCTCAGGCTCGCAGAATTTCTCAGGGTTCCCAGAGCAAGTGTTACAGTGAACTAGGAGGAAGCTGCGTGGCCTTTATGGCAGCCTCAGGTGTCTCACAGCATCACCTTTTTGTTCTCTGTTGGGCTCCATAAGACCATCCAGGTTTAAAAGGAGGGGACTTAGTCCCCACCCCATGAGGGTAGGAGGGTCAAAGGATGTTTTAAAACCACCAGAGTTGTAAATGACAATTCAAGATAGCA